AGCGGTGGCTCGGCAGAGCAGCGGCCGCTTCCCAGGCACTTGGGCTGGGGGCGACGGCCCGAAAAGCTGCCAGGGGTCGGCGTGGTGGGGCCACTGCAACGTGCCACATGCCGACAGTGGCTCCTCGTCGCCGTTCTTCCTGAGCAGAGGCATTTGGTGTTTTTTTATCTAGTCACAGCACTCTTGCCCACTGGTTTCAGCCCGCTATTAGGAGTGCCACTAGCAGTTTAGGATACGGCTTTTATTTTTCATTCTCTCTCCTTATCTAGGTAGATATTTATCAGGCTGTCTCAAAAGGTGTCAACGTAGTTTTCTTTTGCCCATGTGGAAAATAGCTGAGACTGTGCGGTGGGGAATGGAGGGAGTCATGAATGATAGTTTGTGGTGTGATTACAAAAAGACTAATCAGCAGGAAATAGTATTGCAGGAAAATGAAAAAAAAAACCAACTTATTTTTCCACCAGAAAAATAAATTAATGTAAGCTTGGGAAAATGTCTGCTGGCAATATTACTGCATTAAATTAATTACTTTTGAAGCTTGATGTGAGTGGTGGCCTGTAGAATTGGCACTATTTGCCGATGTGGAGCCCCTCGTGATGCCCTCTGGTATTATGGATGCGCTCTGCAGCAGAGTGGAAGAATTGTGCCGAATATCCAGACTGTATTTTCCAGTGCAGACTACTGAGAACTGAATGTCAGATAGGGCAGAAGAAAAAACAAGGAGTGCTGTAATGTCATCTGTAGTTGACACACATGGACATATGAACACTGTAGATTTTTGTGCATGAGCTGTTGTAAAACCACAGGTGAATGAATGCCTGGAGTCTGTGGAAATCAGGAGCCATTTGTACACTGATTTCCTAGGAAGGAGGAAATAAAGCTTGTTAGCTAGCAAGCCACATTTTCTGCCTTTATGCACACTTAGACCACTTAAACAAGATTTATCCCAACATTTAACATAATAGACCATCATATTGGTGTTTTATATTTTCATCAGTGTTTTACACTGGTGTCGTTACGTCCATTTAGTGTACTGGTACACATTTCCTTAGTGCAGATAGGGCTCTAGACTGCTCTAGAAATATCTGGCAAAGGTTAATTCCCTTTTAACGTGATTTCTATTGCTGCATATCCATATGAATATATGGAAATACATATATATATATATCCACCAGACAATTTTCAGTTTGCCACTGAAGTTTCCTCTTCTTATCTTTCTGTGTTCTTGAGATGCTTGGCTACTCAAAATTCAGGGTCATATAGATTGTTTAACCAATGAGAAGAAATTAATGATGGTATTAGAGAACTTTGGCATAACTCAGTTTGTGTACAGGAATTCTGGAGTGCAGGGAGAGCTGTACAACAAGGTATTTGCAAATAGCCCCTAGTGAAGAGCTCAGTGCCTGGGGTCTCCCAGAGCTGCATCCCGGGGCTGCTCAGTGTGCTACATGTTCCCGCTTGTGTTCATTTCTCTGTCCTTTCCTTCTCCTCCACAAGAGTTGCCTCCAATCCCATACGTACTTGTTTTCCAGAGCAGTGTCCACTTAAAACACAGGGCTTCTGGTGCATCCAAATTTGTGAGATGTCTTGCATTTTCTATTATTTCGAGGGAAAGTGCCCTATCTGAAGTGAGGACTATTTTCACAGAAGGTTAACTAAGGTTATAGCTCTAGCAATAAGCAAAGTGATGGCTTCCCTGGGGAGGCAAAGGAGAAAATTGCCCGTAACTTGCTGTACTGTAACAGTGGTGTTGACATAAGTCAGTACTTAACATTACTCACATGCAGTGCTTGGGAGCAAACAGAAACAGCAAGTGTGGTTCACGTCACTCAGTGGACTTATAAGATCACTGTTAATCAGCCAGCATTCCTAACTCTCTATTATCTCCTGCAAGGAAGCATTTTTATTAAATGAAAACTTGCTTGTATGACTACTACATCTTGGTCAAAACACTGCCTTAAAAATACTGGTTTCTTTTACTGACGTTCTAGAGCTGTGATTTCTGTAGCAATCTCTGCAGTCTGGGCAGAGGCAGGAGGCTGTCACAGATTGCCTCGTAAGCTGCAGTTTTTAGCCTGTGGTCCCTTTGAAAGGCTCTGTGTAATGCTCCGAAGGAAAAATGAGCATAACGTCAGTAGACTTGATCATCCAATATGGACACATTCCTGCTGACTCCTAGTGACTGGATTTTCCAGTGTCCTCAAATCTGCCTTTGAAAATGACAAAGAAAGATTATTTTATAAGAACAAACTAATAGCAAACCCTTCTGCTCCACTATTGCGCAGAGGCTCAGCCTGATAATATGAAGTGTAAGTACAGTTTGAGCCCCAAGTGTGCATAGCCATAGTGGGAGACAGCAGGGCCTCATACTGCTTGACAAGCTGTGGGGGACCTCTAGAGCCGTGTTGTGTCTCTTCTGGTAGTTAATTTTGTGAAACTCGGAGGCTTTGTGGAACAGGGTTCTGTCTAATTGTGAAGTATAAATTCAGCGTAAGAGTTCAATGTTAGACATTTATGAAAACAGTTCTTCTTTATAATTGCTCTCTTCTGTATTAACTTTAGGTTATTAAAGGTAATCTGTGGCTTCAAAAAGAGATGGAATGTCTGGGAATGACAGGTATGTAACTGTTTTCTCTCTCTTTTCAGCGCTGTGGGAGTCCCAGGACTCCCAGGGCATGGGTGTGAAGGTGGGCAGGGGACTGGAGCTGTGCCCTGGTGGCCCGCTGTCATCCGTGGGACTGTTGATCCTGGGCCACAGGGGTGTGTTTGCTCAGAAGTTAGGAACGAGGGTGCTCTAGGCTCCCTAAACAGCTCATCTAGAATGGAGCCCCTGTGAGAAGCCCTTAGTTCGTACCCTGCTCTGAATCATTTTCAGGAGGAGCCCTTTTTCCTCATTAAACATAATGATGTAGGGGAGCACCCTCTGATGCCCAGCATTCCCAGTGTTGTGGAAAACACGTTACTTAATGCTGATCAAGACCTTGTTCCTTTTCAGCTAACTTAACCTCTGTGCGTTTACTAACACTGTTGCAATACTTACTCTTGAAGCTATTTTCAAAGACCTCTGCAATTACAATAACTAATATACTTTGTCCTGGACCAAGCTGTTAAAGACTCATAGATGTAGGGGGTCTGGAAGTGTTGCTGGGATACTAATACTCTTTACAGTGGGTATCGAGTACACTTGTCACTGATCTCAGATACACCGAGCATCTCCAGTGGTAGTAGCCTAATCTGATCGAAATAGGGTACCCTGATACTTAGAGAGGTCCCTTACAGCTTGGAGGAGCTGCGTCTGAAGGCTGACCGCCGCAGACTCTTTGTGTACATTTGGACAAATCACTTAGTTTTTCGGAGTCTCTGGTCTTTATTTTCTTTGTATAATAAATAGTGTGCTACCTTATGCAAGTGTGGTGGAGATGAGTACCCTGAAAGTTTACGACATCCTCATACAGCGCATTAACAGGGGCAATGCAACGTCTGAAATAGACCCACCCCATGGCTGCAGTTCCCCAAGAGATGATTTCATGACATGCATTTGCCAAGAAATTGCATGCTCTGAAGCAGTCATCTAGTGAGATGCCTCTAATTTCTTTGCCCTGTGCCATGGCTAATTCACAAATGAGTTTATTAATTTAAATACGAAAGCAAAGAATTCAGATTTGCTGAGCTTCCTTGTTTTTTTTTCTGTATTTATTCAATGTCATCTTTGCTGCTCACATCTTGCTTTCTGATGGATTGCAAATTATTAATGTACCATCCACTGAGAGAGCAAATGCATGTGGTTTAGTAGTTCAGAAGAACCTTCTGGTGCTGAAGAAAAAGTGGGTCTACTGGAGGTTTTTGACATGCAATATCTTTTTGTTAGTGGTTGAAAATAATGTGGCCAGCAGGACTAGGGAAGTGATTGTCCCTTTGAACTCGGCACTGGTGAGACCACACCCTGAATACTGTGTTCAGTTTTGGGCCCCTCATGACAAGACAGACATTGAGGTGTTGGAGCATGTCCAGAGAAGGGCAATGAAGCTCGTGAAGGCTCTAGAGCACAAGCCTTATGAGGAGCGGCTGAGGGAACTGGG